CTCCAGTGTCAACATCAGGCTTTTTACAAATCAAACAACTTCAGGAGTCAGTTACTATTAATAAATGCACAGTAGAGTAATTTTGCTTGAGCTCACATTAGTAAAGAAGATGATTTGCAAAAAGGACTGAAACTGTTATAGCTGTACACTCAAAATCCAGCAATTAATTAAGATATTAGGATTATATCGCCAAAAAAAGTAAAATATTCCACAGAACACTGATGTGAAATTCTGACACCTTCTAAAGAAACCTAATTTTATCTCAGTGAGCATTTAAATCAGGTTTGTGTGGCACCAACAGAAGCTACAGACGGGTGACAAATTAAAGGAAAACCCTGAACCTGAAGGGCATCTCGCTGGCTGTTTGTCCCCTTAGAGGAACAGCTCACTGCAAATCAATACAAAGTACACAAAGTACAGCAGTGACTTCCAGACATTTTAAAAATTAATCCAAAGCTCCCCTGAAGCTGTTTTGGTGGCACACGGTGTCCCATCACCCCATTAACATGTTGGCTTTTCCTTTAATTGGTCACCAATCAGCTCGTCGTTAGCAGAGCACATGCTAACATCCTGCTGCTTCACGACGTGTGCAGCAGAACGCATTCAGCTCTCCGCACAGGTTCTATTATCACCATCCTGTAATTACTGCAGAGCTCCACGGCGCTCCGGAGCACGAGGCGACATTTCTTTGGTGTGTCACATTTACTTTAATCTCACCTTGGATACTCTCGTCCCCAGAAGAAGGGTTTTTGAAGCTCTCCAGCAGGGAATCCTGAATGAGAACATCAAAAACAGCGTTTCTTGTTTATGTGTCTGCAGCCAGACAGGATTTATCAGCGCAAGAAGGTCACAGGGTCATTTTTCAGCTGCGAAATAACTAATATGAAACAGATCGCACGTCAGTGGGTTTACAAAGGAGGCTCGGCCACTTTGAAAACAGCCAATTATTTCAGAAGCTGACTGTATTGCCCATTTTAGGAGAAAAGCAATCCCTAGAAAAAGCAATCTGGGCTGATAATTGAGAACAGCGCAGTGCAGCTTCGTCCTTAAAAATAACTGAATTAGTGAAAAATGAGCGTCTCAGAGATCAATTACACGTCTTACTGATTTGATTGGTGGACGAGCTGTAGAAGGCGTTCACAGTCGTCGGGTTGGTAAACCACCTGGAACACAAACACACGTAAAACACAAATACACAGGCAGAGAGACTCAGTAGTTTGAAAAAAATGCAGACTTTGTAGAATTTAAAAACAAAACAAAAAATATAAGGAGTGTCGTAACATCTGTTAGCATCTGGAAAAATGTTGCACAAGTTGATTCCAGTTGTTTTTTTCAATTTTTTAGGATAAATAATCAAAGAATTTATTTTTTTTTAAGATTTAGGGGCATTAAAATGGAGTTATATGTGGGATTGTATTTTTTGTTTTTTTTAATTTTTATACCATGTGTAATAACACAATTATAACTCTATTACTACGACTTATTACACTGCATACTCATAGCGAGCGGTCACTCACTCTCTACGCGGGACGCTCTTTCGCAGCCAGCTGATGTCGGATTGGGAGATGAACTTCAGCGTCTGCATCACGTTGCCGTAGTAATCCTTGGTGCTGAACTCTAGCTGGAACAGACAAATTCAAACACGCACGGTTTGTTTTTCCACAAGTAGCACAAAAGTATAAAACTTCTGCATCTTAGGGAAACTGCTGATGATCTCCCAGCTCGTATGTGATTTAAAAGTCACACTTGTGAGGTTAAAAGCCATAAATGTCAGTCATGCTAACAAACTAGCTTCCATCGCTGCTGCACTAACCTGCTTTAAATCTTCATTGAGGTAGGTGTCGTTCAAGATAAACTCGGGGTAGCCGACCTTCGCCAGGACTGCATGAGCCTGAAAACAAAGACAAGAAAGTTCAATCCATGTGTCAGACTCTCATTTAATACTACAAATAATAACAAAGAGAGAGTTTTGTGGTTGTCACAGCGCTACACAAAAACATGTTCTCGCCTCCCCGCAGTGGTTAATGAATTATAATAGGACGTATAAAAGGCGGTGTTTCAACGCTACGAAGTCTGATCGGAGGTCTCTCTGAACTGTATGAGTCTAACACGCTCGTGATAAAAGCAGGCCTGATTTATTGAAATGGTTTTATTATCGCAGCGAAGCCGCTGAATGAGGAGTAGATTGGTTCAAGGTGAAATGAGTAAAACACATTTGAAGAGTCAGTGAAGCTGAAAAGCAGGAAAGAAAATGACAGCATGAGAGAAAAAAAAGATCTCGACTCTCTGATCCAGCAGGTTGTAAAGGCAGCTTATCTTAAATGTAAAAAAATAAGCAAAAAAATTTAATTTATCAGATCCAGAAACTGTTAAAACACAAAAAATTAGCAGATTTTTAAACTTTCTGACGGTCTTTGAACACCTCATCTGTGACGTTGTGGAAAAATTAAGTAAATCTAAGCTTTAAATTGTAATATTTCACCAAAATGCCTTTATTTTGTGTCATTTAGAGAAAAATCAGCAGAACTATTCCATTTGCAAGAACAAGATGCTGTAAAAAACTAAAAGATTCAGCGTTCCTCAGCACAACTTTGGTCACATGGCAGAAATTTAAGGACTTTTTAGATGAACTCGGCTGAACTGCAGGCAGTGTTTACACAGAACAGATGGGGGACAATTAAGGAAACTAATAAAAGTAATGAAATATCCTCATTATATAGTTACTACTTGTTTCTAGTGTTGGAAATAGAAAAATGTTGCACGTGTTGAGTTTTTTTTTTTTTACATTTTTCAAAATAAATAATCAAAAAAATTCAACTTTTTGTCTTTTTTCAACTGATGGCCACACAACTTTCTGATATTGTCTACAAGAGTTTTCTCTGCTTCTAGCTATAGTTGTTCTGCTTCCATAGACTTTATACTGCAGTAAAAACTGAGCCCACACTCAGTAAAAATATGAGAGAAGAGGAAAAAAAATGCTCATAAACTACCGAGAGTTCAGAGGGTTAAACAAGCAATAAACCCGTTATTAAAGTTAAATAATTATTGCCACAGCAGACGACGGTCTAGACGTGGAGGTCGTGAACATCCAGGAGAAAATGAAGCTGCAGCTGCTAATATCCAGGAGCAGCAGGACTCCAATTACACAGGCTTCCAACAAATATGAAAACAGAAGTGATGAACTGTATCGGCGACGTCTCCCTCTTCGAGTAGGAACGTATTTTAGCCGTTTTAACGAGGACCGAAAGGCCTCCTGGTCTGGTGAAGTTTGTTCCTGCTGAGCAGCTGTGGATCAGACATCGTTTTAATTGTGAGATGCGTCCAACACATCCAGTCAGATCTCAATGCCATGAAGCTGCACAGCCATTGGTTGATTGACAACTAATCCACTGTTGATAGGAAGCGGTTTAAAGTTTAGATTATGGACACAAGAAGGAGGATTTTTAATTGAAACTGTCACCGCAGCTGGAATAAGACGAGACAGAGGAGACGAGTAGAAACGTGAGGAAGAGGCAGCGACTGAAGAGCGGCAGCAAACTCACCTTGTCTATGGCTCTCTTCTTGGTCGGCTGGTCCATCCAGTCGTTCTCCTTCTCCAGCATGTCGATGAACGCCCAACGGATGCCCTCGATCAGCTCCTCCATCTGAGCGACAAGAGACACCGAGGATTAAACGTACGACAACATCTTCAGAGGTCATAAACACACGTCTGACCTCCGAGCGACAAAACAACCCGACAAACATCCGTCACACAAACCAGACACGCACCATGTGTTTCTTATCCTCCTGGAAGTGCGTGTTGACGAAGAGGCGCCCGGTGGCGTAAACAAGCGAGTTCTCCACGTAGTTGACGCACTTGTCCCAGCGCGGGGTCAGGGAGGTGGTTCCCGTGGTAACCTGGTCGGACAGAGATGCAGGTTGACTCTCACGACACAAAAACAGCAACGTTTGCGAGCAGAGAGGTTCTCAGCGTCTGCGTGTTGGAGTCCCAAACTTTAAATCACGACTTGAAACTCTCTACACGCTGTCAGACGTAGACAATCATAAAACAGAACTCGGGGAAGCCTCTAATTACTGTCACAAGCATTTTGGAGCAAAAAACAGAGTTTGAGAACCGTCAGTGTTTTGGAAGTTTTTATAAATTTTCTCATTTAAAACGAGACAAATCTTCATAGTAATTTAGTTAAAAGATGACTAGGTTTTGCATGTCTCTGTTTATAGACGTAAAACTGTGGCTCATCTCCATCGTACAAACTAATTAAAGCAGATATGAGACATTATACAAACATTAAAAACATAGAATGACTCTTGAATGAGTATTCGATGGGTTTCTCAATCTGAGGAATCTACCTTGATTAGATCTTTATTTTTTACATATTCTTTAATCATATTTGCTTAAATATTCACATATTCAAATGTCCTTTTTTTTGCATCTGTGCCACACTGGTTTTAAAAGATGCTCTCGTATGCAAGTAGATTGTTTTTCTTACATCAAAAATGCGTCTCACAGCTGCAAAACATTTAAACATAATGAGAGTTGTGGCAGAAAAACCTCCAAAAAGCTGTCAGGAAATAACAAACAAGTGACTGTATTCGATTTTCTCTTTGTAAACTTTGTCTGTTATTTTAAAAACCACAGTTTAACTTAAATCATTATTGTATGTTGGACCTTTCACAATAAAAGCTTTCACAAGTGAGTTTTTTTGTTTTCTGAATCACTCACCTGAAAAAAATACAACTATACACATAAAGCTGGCCCTATAACTATTACTACTATTATTGTTATACATTATATATGCCTTATAATGCCATATATGGTCATGGCAGCTTAAATACTCCTTTAAATTTATGTCCATTGCGCCAAAAAAGGAAAATCTCATCAGAAAATACTTAATATATAAGTGTTTTATTCATTTGTAGGATTAAATGTAGTTAAATTTTACTAAACTAAGGCCAAGAAAAGTATTTAAATTACACGTATAATAACTGAAAAACAGCACAATGTGACTGAAAACTGCCAAAAATGAAAAAAGTGAAGAAAAATTACCTTTGATTTAGATTTAAGCAATTCAAAATGAACTAAAGTAAATTATGTGTAGTGAAAGAGCCGCACAAAAGTCCTGCAGAAAGCTCTTTTTGCATAATCTATACATTTGAAACTATACAGTGTGATTTAAACCACATCTCTGCACAGCTGCAAACGAAACATCTGCAAAATCAGAGATGTTTGGAGCTTCTTTACAACACTTCACACATATCATTTTTTATTCTAACTCATCAAGGAGAATTAAATCCTTCAGCTAATCTAAAAATCTAAACATCCACATATACTCTGCATCATGTTTTGTGCACCAACCCGAGCGTAGTCGAGGTATCTGTAGAGGAAGCGGCGGCTCAGCGTTGTGATCCTGGAGAAGACGGTCCTCCACTGGACGTAGTTCGCTACGGTCCTGGAGAGACGGAGACGGAGAGGCATTAATTAAACGCCTACATGTAATCTCATTATACGCTATAAAATACTTATAATGAGCGACAGGAGCCCTCGAGCCACAGTGTGTGATCATGTGTGTGTGTCTGCTCCATGTTTGTGAGGACAAGATTGATTGTAGGACTTTGGAAGAAGGAACTCTTGTGGAAAGTGAGAATATTTGAGCTATTTGGAAAACTTAAGAATCATTTATTAAAGCAAAAGTGGCAAATACTTGCTGGTTGCTGCCTCTCAGATGTGAGGATTTGATGCAAAGGGAATATTTTGGGGTTTTAAACATGATATCAGGTTTGTGGAAACACAACAGGCACTAGTGAGCAGAGTGATTATCTCAGTAATGGGATTAATACGAGCCCACGTGATGACAGCTGAATTGTCAGATTCACTCATTGCACATTTTTTATAACTCACTGCCCCACTAATTTGTCTGCATTGCTGGTGCTTATATACAAAACTGTCTCTAGTTAGATTTCTATACTGTTTACCTGCACGACCAGCTATACAGATACTTTGATGCCTAAGCAGCAGCTACAGTGTTTTCATCACATCACTTTGCAAACATGCCTTTAATAAACTGTTACTACTATTGACGAGGACGGCAGTGCGTCTGTACCTGGGATCAGTGGCGTTGAGGAGCTTCATAAGTTCCTTGAAGTACTGCGGAGCTCTGACGATGACGTGCTCGGAGGAGGAGACGGAGCGAGTCGGGTCGCCTTTAGACTCCACCACGGCTTTAACGAAAGCCAGCCAGTCGAACTGCAGACGGAGAGAGGAGGACGTGTGAGCGGGTTCTTGTGTAAAACATGGAAAGTTTAAGAGCATTTCTGTTGTTTGCTGATGTTTCCGGCTGATCTGAATCACCTGTGACTGGCATAATTTATTAAAAAATGGATCATTTTAATGCAAAAATACCACAATAATTGCACAAATTAGTCTGAAACAAACTGGGATGTTTCTGTGCTCTCAGCTGTTTGATGACAAATGAAGCCACTCATAGAAAAACTTTAATGAACTTTGATTATTTTACATTTTTAAACTGCATTTTCTACTTTTTGTTTTCAGATTAAAAATTGCATAATTGTGTGTTGATTTACAGGCTTTAGAAGTGCTGCTAAGTCAATTTCATTAGCTTCGGCTAGCTGTTTCCCTCCATTTCCAGTCTTTGTGCTAAGCTAAGCTAACTGGCTAATTACAGTATGAATGTATTTTAGTGTGCATATGATGTTATTCTACTGAACCACACTCACTTCAAAGACTTTGGTTGCCACAGTTTCTTTCTCAGGAAAAGAAAATAAGCAGGAGAAATTGCAGAGCAGTTTTTAGAAACATGGGGATTTAAATGGACTTCAAAGTACCTGTGGTATGGAGCGCTGCAGGCGGGACAGCGAGTATTTGTTGTACATGCTCTCGCTGGTGCGGTTCTCGTAGGGAATCAGGATCTGCGAGACACAATGAGCGACATCATCAGCAGGACTCATCCTGAATGTGTACAAAAAAAACGATGTGTGTTGCTGAAGCCGATGAGCCACGTTTCACAGTTAATAATGCCGAGTTTTAATTAGCTCCCGACCCACGGAGGCCCATTAAATCACTTCCGGATATTAGGCGGGATTGTATTTATCCGACGTGACGTCTTTACATGAGCGAGTTTGGTCTCGAAGGCGAGGGCCTTTTCCATCTGGGTCAGCGCCGCCTTCTCTGGAGCTCCCAGCATGATGGCCGTGTCCACCATCAGACTGAGCAGGGCTGCACGGTACTGAGAGGGAGAGGAGGAGGAGAGAGGAATGAAAAGTCAATACAGCTCATACATGTACACCGCTTTATCAGTTTTTTACCATCACTACATTTAAATGACACATGCACAGCAGCAGAACTCAGTGAATACCAAAACTGTTTATTTTAGCTGCAACACAAACAGACTTAAGACACACAAACATCCCATAGAGGTAATCTGATTAAGCTCCATTCATAGGTTGTAATTAATGGATTAATTAATGCATATGTATTAGGTTTTATAGAGCAACATTTGGGCTGACAGATGGTGAAAATTCCTCCTCCGGCGCGACACGTTTCTTGACATTTCAGCTCCTTAATTCATCCATTTATAAACTGCTTATTAACATTTACAACTTCAGACTTGACTGATGGCAGAATTTATGATTTATTAACGCGGGTGACTAACTTTTATTAATTAAAAAATCAAGCAACCACAAGGACTTTATTAAAGTCTAACTAATATTTACGAACATTTATAGCTGCTTTATTACTGAACTGAAAACCACAAACACGGTAGATTTTAACATTTTACTCAAAGATGACAGACTGATGCAAAAAAAAAGTCGCTATAAAAACACTGAATGGTAGCATTTTAACTTACAAGTACAACAAAACGGCTTTAATCCTCAACAATTCACATTTGCGTTATTGTTCCCGTGACATTTCTGCTGTTTTAAGCGATGCACAACATCAACAGTTTGTCAAACTCAGCGGGTTCACTACAATAAGTCTGTAGCTGTAAATGCTAACAAGCAGTTAATCAATGTGTTTAGAATTCTTGTGCAGATGTCCTGCAACTATTTTGTAGAAACTGTCAAACACTCCTTCATAAAGAAGAGTTTAAAAAGAAAAGGAATTTTTTTCACAACAGGGCGACTCAAAAGTTTAATTATCGGCGTCTCTCTGACCTTTACCGTAAATTCTGGACTATAAGCCGCTACTTTTTTCACACACTTTGAACACTGCAGCTTAAACAATGATGCGGCTAACTTATGGATTTTTACGAATTTGTCTCGAGACGAAAGTGACATTGAGAGCAAAAGAGAGACTGAGGAAGTGTGTGATGAAGTAATTCTGAGGCTGCTCAATTCCGACACTGAAGAAGACGACTTTAGTGGTTTTAGTGCAGGAGGAAGATGAAGATAGCGATCAATGACTTTTCCTGGTAGGCTGCTGTGTTTATTATATTTTTAACCAGTCGTGTTACAGGCACTGTGTGGGAAAAAAGCATTTACGGTATTTGTGTGTTACCGGTACGTATTTAATTAAAAGTTTAGAAAATCTATTTGTGTAAATATCTCATGTTACAACGTGGAAACCTGTAGCTTATAGACAAGTGCAGCCTGTATATGTACAAAACTTGTTTTCTTTAGTGGGTGCGGCTGATATTCAGGTGTGCTCAATAGTCTGGAATTTACGGTAGTGTATTATTTGAGCATCACAAACAAAGCATAGTTCGCTAACGCTAAAATACATTTAAAACTATACAAAACACAAAGAATAAAGAGAAAATCAAACTTAAAAACGGTTATATTTTGGTTCCTCGGTGAGCGTTTTTCTTGGATTTTACCGTTTTTGCAATTAAATGCATTATGATTAAATTTTACACAGCGAAAAAAATATATTAGGCCAACAAATATCCTGAAAAAAGTCAAAATACATTAGATAAATACGCCGTGGAAGAAGGAAACAGAAAAACTCAAAGCAGAATATCGAGTGTGTTGAGAAAAATGAAGCATTCTGGGCGCGCTGTTTTATTGCGGCCTAATGAGGCAGCCATTAGCGAAGCAATCAATACCAGCCGCCTCTTCTACGATTAATTGCTTACATTACGTCTGTCTGGTGTTTGTGAAAATATTGAGTCTAAAAAAGAAGCTCTCATTCTGATTTTGACAGGTCATATTTCTCCAGGCTGAGAGGTGTTTTTTTGTTTTGTTTTTTTATTTTTTTCTGGCTACAACTCACGCAGGAAGGAGACAGCTGCTGCAGGAAGGAGAGCTTTTCAGATAACAGGCGATATGAGTGAAAGATGAAGCAGGAACTCACCGCCACAGCAGCGGAGGTGTTGGTGATGTAGTCCTCCCTGGAGGGCAGCGACAAGGTAGCCTGATCCAGCTACACAAAGACGGAGAGGTTAGAGTCCGCTGCGTTGTGGGAATGTCTTTCTATTTCCGCAACAATACGAGAAAAATGCGGCTGAGCTCCGGAGCTGAATCTTACTTTACATGTCCGCACAAGAGGGTTCGTTTCTTTGAGCTCCTGCACATCAGAGAAAACTTTCTTCCAAACATTTTTATTTTATTCTTTTTACCTTACAGGCGTTTCAATCACAGTGAAGTTTTTATAAAATATATTTTAGTGAGGCTACTGTTTTCATAAAAGTACACACGACCGGTTTCCATTTAAATTCCTGGAGAAAAAGCAAAGTAGAAAAGAGTTTCAAATCAATTCGATTGAGTTCCTTTAATTTACTTTTCAATGCCGCCGTTTATCAGAAGAAGAAAATCTGACATTGAACATTACATAAAGAATCTCTTTGAATGACTCAGCTTTGTGAACCTTTCTCAAATAAACGGCATATTTCTGAACTTCCACATGAGCTACTGTTTAAAGGTGAACCATGTGGACCAACAAAAGATTGGTGCTTTAATGTAGATAAACAGCATAAATCATGTAGCTGTAAGAGCTCTTTGTTATTTTATTTAACCATATTCCTACTTTTTAGGACAAAATGCAACCATTTCCAAGAACTAAATCCTCGAAGCCTCAAATATTGACTCGTTTTTCCACTTTTCTACAAAACTAAACTCAATATTTGGCTTTTTGACATTTAAATACACTGACTTGTCAACTTTTTAAAGTATTCTCTAACATTTTTTTTTACACTGAGCAATCAATACATTCAGGAAAAAACTATTATTCATCAGTTTTTCTGTGCGTTAATTAAAATTACAGCAATTTTAATGAAACTTTATAACAAAGACTCACAATGAAATCTGAAATGATTCACAGGTTTAAAGTAGAATTCTTGTACACAAGCAGAATCACAAGATCTTGTCGTAGCAGAGTTTTTGAATAAACAAGAGGAAATTTCAAACAAATATGCAGTTAATTTAATAAAATATATATAAAAGCCTGGATACAAGTTTTTAACATTTAGGCTGTTCGACAGTTTGTCATCGGACAATTTATGGAACCATTCTCAATCGTGTTTCTGCTTCTGCTGACGACTTTCTTACAATTTAACAGACAAAAATTGGGGCAAATGTAGTTTTAAAGGGGCAGTACGCTCCATTAGAAGTGCTCATCAGACACTGAATAACTTTCAGAAACCCCCTTATTTCCAATAAATGTTGGTATATTTGAACATTTAGGTAACTTTTCAACCTAAAAATGCAAAACTTCCAGAGGAGACTATCTGAGAACAGTCCACCATCGTCGCCATTGTACAATATGTCCATACAACGGCAGGAAAATCCTCTAAATCTCACTAATAACTATTGAAAACCTGATCTTTTGTGTTTAATCTGTACAGAAATGGAAGTTTAAAAATAACAACTTGCTTTATTTTACCATTGCGTCCGATTACAAACTGTGCCTAAATGTTAAAAACTTGTCTCCAGGCTTCAACAACATCAGCAGCGGTGTGTCGATGTCTGACCTTGATGATGTAATGCGAGGAGTTTTTGTCGTCGGGGGAGACGTACATCCGAATCAGGACGCTCTTGCTGTGCTGGTTCCTCATCTCCGCCAGCGTCTTGAGGAGGTTCCACTGACTGGGCGACCACTGGTAGTCCCCGCCGAGCCCATCGCCCACGACGGGCCACCGGAACTCCGGCTGCCTGAGCGTCTTCAGCATGGGTCTGGCGTCCAGCTGCTCCAGCACAGCTTTGGTAAACAAACGCATGAAAACTATCGATTTGTTCCAGTTTGACATTGCAATCATCTACTCTTGTGATCAGCGCGACTCCTCTTTTTTCACCTCATGTATCTCATTGATTTTGGTTCTGCGCTGACCCAGATCTGCCATGCGGATCAATGGAACTTATTTCACTCCATTTAATACCAGCGCTGTGTCTTTGTGTGTGCTGCTGACTTGGAGTTCTATTGAGGACGGCTTTGAGGTGATATTCTGACAGATTGACGTAAGGTTTGGTGTTTGGCTTGTTCAGGGGCATTATCCAAACACAAACCTGTGCGTGCATCAGACTTACTTTCATTCATGCAGGAGCGGTAGAGGATCTTGGCTTTGGTCACCGCTTGTAGTTCGTTGGGGTCCGAAGGAGCTTCCAGTAACTCTGATGGAGAAAACCAGTCGGTGTCATTACACAGCTCCAACAATTAAATAAAGACATGTTTTTCTTTGTAATTTTTAGTTGCACCAAACCCCCAGTTGGCTTTGTGAAAAGACATGGAAGCAAGTTCAGTCTTTGCTGGAGAATAAGTGATAAAAATCTAATAATTGAAACCACTTAAGAGATCTCCAACAGTTTTAAGTCCAGAAGGAGTTGTATGAAATCTGACAGATGTGCGCCTGTTGGCATGTAGAAATTAGAGAGTCCAACATCGTGTCTGCTCGAGGCTAAAGGGGCTTTTAGACAAAATGCGATAATGGCACCACTGCACACCGATTATTTCAAACGGCTCACGTCATGCGACGACAGCTGGAGATTGAGCGTGCATGCAGCGGTCAGAGTTCAAATCAATTAATAGATATCAGGCGTCCAACCAGACATGAAAGGCAAAATAGAGGAAAAGCTGATATTAGCTGAGTACAAATACAGAAGTTGAATCTTTCTATGCTGCATTCAAAGACCAAATGCGTCACAGCGGTGTGACGAAAGGACCAAACGCAGCCTCGATCTATGTCCAACCTATCCCACGATCCACTGCACGCTGATGACAGTTGCAGTTTTGGGAGTATGGCGACGATTTGGAGGGGAAACGCCTATAAAGATGAGTCATGGACATCAAAAATCCAAAAACTCAAAGGCTGAGCTTACTGTAACTCTGCTGCCCACATCCTTTAAAAGCAAAGCCCTTAAATCCTTCATATCCTGGCTCAAAAATTCATTTTGACCAAGATTGAGGCGATTTTACAGATAATTTATATTCGTGAGAGAATTCTCTGAATTGTCTGACACAAGTTTGGGTTTTTGTCGAAACCTTGAGACAACTGTCATCACTTGAAAACAGTTTTTTACATCCAAGCAGGCCTGTCAGATGTGTTTTACCAGTTAGGAAGCTTTTTGTAGGTGTAAACAGGAAGCTTGTTCAGCGCTCCTCTTCAATAACTCTGCCGAGTTTCTTTGTGAGTCTGGTGGCTGAGCTTTGTGCGAAACCAGTGGAGTGCTCTGAAGTCTGTAAACTCCAAAAATCCAATCGGAGAAGACATTTGACCTCGTTCTTCGCTGAGTTTTTCTTTTTCTTTTTACGTATAAACCACTTTCAAGTTCAGTTTTGATTCTGTCAAGTGTACTCTCATCGAGCACAAACACTCAAGGCCAAACGCACCTTTGAGCCGGATGTCGACGTGCTGCCGCAGCCACGGGTAGATGCCGTAAGAGGACGAATCCTCGGGAATCGGGTTCTCCTTTAACCAACCTCCACAAGCAAAAGTATAGAAGTCCTGGCAGGGGTCTACATCCCGATCCATCTTACTGAGGATAGACCCCGCTGTGGAGACGAGAAAACAGTGACAATGATGACCTCTGAGCACCAGAAACTTCAGTCCCAACTGATAAACAGTGGAAACCAGACACCTTGTTTTTTTTTCTCACTGTCTGACATTAAATCAGACTAAACTTTTCCTGTTTTAGGTCAGTTAGGATTACCAACATTATTTCTATTTGCTAAACACCAGAATAATGAGAGATTTTTTAGAGATTTTTTTTATTACTTTCTTCAAAGTCAGAAGTTTACATCCATCTCCTCAGTATTTGGTAGCGTTGCCTTTAAACTGTATGACTCGGATCAAACGTTCTGAGTTTCCTTCAACAAGCTTCTCACAATAGTTTGATGAATTCTGGCCCATTCCTCCTGACAGAACTGGTGGAACTGAGTCAGGATTGTTCCACACACCTTTTCAGCTCTGCCCACTAATGTTCTCCAGGACTGAGATCAGGACTTTGTGATGGCCACTCCAAAACATTGACTTTGTTGTCCTGAAGCCTCTTTCTAACTAATCTGGCGCTATGCGTAGAATCATTTTCCATCTGAAGACCCATTAGCGCTAAGCTTTAACTTCCTGGCAGATGTCTTGAGATGTTGCTTCAATATTTCCAGATAATACTCTTTCCTCATGATGTCATCTATTTTGTGAAGTGCACCAGTCCCCCCACAGCATGATGCTGCCACCCCCGTGCTTCACAGTTGGGATGGTGTTCTCAGGCTTCAAGCTTCCACCTTTTTCCTCCAAATGTAACGATGGTCATTATGGCCAAACAGTTCGATTTTAGTTTCTCAATCAAATGTATGTAAAACAGCTCCTCACCTGCTTCGATGCATTCTGGGGTCAGACAGAACTCCTCCTGACTGGATTTTTGAGAGACTGTGGGAGAGAAACGACGAGTAAAACGTAAAATCACAGTAATAAGCTGGTGGAAATGCAGGGTGTGTAGCCAGATGACAGAAAAGCAGCAGTTACACAATCGGAAACAGTTGCTGTGATTCAGACAGTTGTGTTATTTTGGCCAACATGTGGGTCTTTGTGCAACACTGCCCCTTCTCACAACAAACACCGTATACAAACAGTCTGCTGGTGACCACTGAGGAGCACTTAGAGGTTACTGGGTTTGTTCAACACAAACTCAACCATGGAGATGTGTGTGTGTTCGTCAACAAGACAAAACTGGAAATGGAGACCAATTATATTTATCATCAGCTATCGTCTTGATTGTTTCGTCTATTAGAAATTGACCAAATAGGTTTTAAAAAACTACAATTACAACTTGTTAAATTGCAGATTTTGCTCAAAAATCAAAACTAAACACATTATTCAGTTTGAAATGTACAACATCATTTTAAAGGCTGGAAAAAAGTTGCAGATTAGCTTTCAGTTGATCGGCCGGTTTCTTTTAGCTTCGATCTGATTGTGTTCTCTGGAAACTTTGCTGAGAAAAGCTCAGAAGATACAAACATCAGCAATAAAATGTGGCGAAGACATAAATTTATGACGCCAGCTGGTGCGAAGACAAACCTTGTTTTTTTTAGATGCAACTTCTTTCACCCAAATGTTTGGTTTGGGTGTAAAATGTTGTTTTATCAAGGAGGATACTACAGTAACTCTACAGTTACGTCCTAGAAACACGGTATTTATATTTAACTTTTACTCTTAGGTTGCATTAGTAAAAAGTTTGCAACATGGAATACTTATATTTCTGCTGCACTACATTTCATTTTTGTATATTTTGCTCCACTACATAATTACACCTCGTCATAAAAGTTTATTTTTAGGTTAAGATTTTACACACAAAACATATCTCCCCCAAAACTATGGCTCGTTAGAATAAACAACACAGCAGTTTGTATAAAGTTAGCTTCATGCATGCAAAGTTACATGAAATTATCTGATTTATGTTGAGTATAATTCACTTTTTTTCTGCTACCATGTTCTCAAACTCTGAGAATATTAGTTTAACATTAAAATCAGGTCAGGAACATTACACCTGCTCATTGATAACATCATCACTGTGACTGACACCTGCTGGTACATCAATCCACCGTGCTACAGGAGTCATTTCTGCACATTTTGCTGACAATGCCTCTACTATCTACATTCAAAGCACATTTTGACCGCAGGATTTGGCTGAAGTCGCACTAGATGCATTTAAGTAAAGCCTCCTAACGCTTCCTCCACCACTGTTTATGCAATAATTACTCGAAATGACAGTGGTTATCAGAGGGGAGTGTAAGAAGGCACATTCCCACAATCCACACAGACTAAAGTGCAGCTGATACAGCTGCACAAAGAGTAAACAGTTCGGCCTCCCTTCACTGTGGAAAGTCATAATCTACATATTGTGTGATATCACTCATGAGTAATCCTTAATTATCAAGTTGGAGGCAAATCTTGAGCACTTTCTGACACAGATCAGATTTTTGACCTAAACTTGGCTCTAGGTTAGAACCATTTCACAAAGTTGTGATAACGGCGATCAGAAAGCCAACAGACAGAATAAACTCCGTCTTGTTTACGCTACTGGAGTGTGACCACAGGCTTGCCCAATCACTTAACTTCCTCGAAGGTGAGCGGCAGCCTGATTCTCTCACCTCTTGGCAGAAACCGCCGCTATGTGAAGTGGGTTCTGCGGCAAACAGAGGCTGCAGGAGGCCGTGAAGTGAGCCGACAGATTTAGAAACCAAATCCCCCATTGTGAACGGATGAGTGGAGCGTTGCGGAGCTGCACCACAGCGTCTGACCTCTGAGGTCCACCCGTCTTGTCGTCTAGTTAGAGCCGCTTTGTGAGAGTTGCCTAATGTTGCGGCCACTTTTAGCACTCGCGGCTTCAGCCCTGCAAGACCTGCTCGGCCTCGACGACCCCGCCGCACACAGGGGTCTAAACACACACACACAGATGTCTGAGGCTCCAGTGTCACTGCTAAAGCCAACCTCATGTTCATCGCCGAGATGCCAAACAAGCCACCGACCCAAACGTGCATGCAGACGAACACATTTGAGCGTCGCGCTCTCTCAACTCACTAAAAAAGTGCAAAAAAATCAAAGCAACCACTTGGCATTCCTGCGTCTGGTCATTCGCATGGCTGGAGAGCGGAGGAGGGTTTCCATTAGAGCGGCTGTGTGGGGACTGCATACACAGGCACAAAGCGTAATTACACTTCAATGCCGCCACAAGAATGCTGACTTCCCTCAATAACAAAAAAAAAAAAAACAATACTTACCCCACCCAAACAAACACTGGCAGCCCTGCCAGCCACCACCATCCTTACAACCACGGAAACTACTACGACTACATGGAGTCTTAAAGGAACAGCTTTTAGAAAGTTGATCATAGGCAACATAAAGCTGATTAGCCTAGCTTAGCATTAAAACTGGATGGAGGGAAACAGCCATCCTGGTTCTGTGCAAAGTTTTGAAAAATCTGCTCATTGACACCCTTTAAAGCTCCAATGGTTTAACTTTAAAAAAATATATCAATAAGTTAAGCATAAATGCAAAAAGCTAGAATTATCAATGACGTCAATGCACCTGCGAAATCCTTCGACAACATCCCATTTCTACGCTAAATTTAAAAAAAAAAAACAAGAAGTGAACTTTAAAGGAGCAGATTTGTCATCTACAGAAAAAGTTACGCTAGCCGTTTCCCCTTTCCTCCAGGATTTATGCTAAGCTAACACTCTCTAGCGTCCTATTTAACCGAAAGACGACAGTGACATTGATCTATACTCTCAGCAACAATGGAAATTCTTTCTTTATCAGTCTCATGCTTTAGCAAAAAAAAAGATGCGGGACATTTGAACCTCCTGGGATTGTTTCGAAATCAGATTAATCACTTAAACTCTGATTCCTCCTGCAAGAAGTAATCTTTCAGTTGACAACGCATGTCCGCAATTTCACACATTAATCATATTGAAAGTAGCTCGAGGAAAATTAGGGAAGCTGCCAGAAGTATTGTTTCACCAGAAGTCAAAACTCCAACAATCAGTGAGCAGGAAACATCTGGAAACCTCTCACGGTAAATCATGAATTGTGCTTCTTGCAGCACTCCTAAAGTCAAGTGTCACCGTGTTTGTCTTGGTTTTAATGGCTTTGTATGCGGTTTTGCGCTTATTAATTAAATTATGAATATTTTTCCTTGCTGTTTGTCTGAGAACATCTTCGGTGTTATGTGAATATCAGCTCTGGGTTGGGTTTTTTTTTTTTAGCCAGACTGGGGGATGTAAATTACTGGTGTATCTCACCCTGCCACATCCACCTACAAGTTACTTAAAGTGTCAGTGTTAATTAATGTGCACTGCCACCCATAAATAATAAACACACATGGAGCCTACCCACTTGTCCGCCACACAATTCCCCGCTAATTAATTTCACATTCTGCAGCAATACACTTTTCCGCGAGTCCGGTTTCTGACTCCCACTGTGCATTACGGAAAAGGTCCCGCGTGTCCACGTGGGCGTGTACGAAACCTTACATGAACCAAAAATAGTTGGGACACAAGTTACCCCGCCAGCCCTCCACAAAGACCTTTGCTCCCGCCAGCATGCTTTCTGTGTTATTTACAGTCTGCATGTACTATAATCTGGGGACAGCGTGCGTACTATACCATACATCAAATTCCTTGCAAATTATAATGTAGGACGAAGGAAAATGTGTGTATGTGTGTGTGGACTTACCCAGTATGAGAGCAAGCAGCAGAGCAGCGCAGAGGCACACACACATGGCCAGAGCTATCTTGTAGAGACGGCTGCCCCTCTCAGGTTTAACCCCGCCGCCGCCTAAATGCTCCAGCTCCATGGTTTACTGTATCACACACACTCAGACACACAAAAACACACACACGGCCTAAAAATCACAAGTAGGGGAAGCAGGCAAAGGGTGAATAAATATAGAAAAATACTCTAAAAAAAAAAAAATCTAACAGGCTAAATTAAACCCAAAAACTGTCTGAAATTAAAGACAATCTAAACTCTCCTGTCATACACTTCTTCCTCCTGTTTAACAGCATAAACTTTCCCCAATCTGTCTCGCTCTCTCTGCTGCTGTCTGTCTCTCTGCAGCCACTCTAACTTCACTCGGGCTCTTCTAGCTGTTCCTCCCTCCATCCCTCATTACTCCTCCTCTCTTTCCCTCCCACCGGGAAACGAGGGACCAGTCCTCCCAGTGAGATGAGCAGAAGTCATTTATTAAAACAATCATCGGCTAAAAACCAGAGCCTTATCTCTAAAGTGTGTGTGTGTGTGCGAGGCTTTGGCGGTCCTATTAGCACGTGAAATGTGTATCTAATCTCGTGTTCGGGACAGCGGGGTGCTCTGCTCGAAAACGTTTATCAGATCAGACAGTCGGTGAACCAGAACGGGACACTGATTACAATAGATTAATCTGATGATGATGGTGATGGTGATGATGATGCCGCCGCCTGTCACAAACACATCTGTGTTTCAGTCACACTCTTTGCTTTTTTTGAAGGCCCAGAGGTGCTGATGACACTGACACCACAGCTCCTGATTGGATCCTCCCCTCCCCTCTCACTGCGGCGAGAGCCGTTTCTGCACGTGCTCATTAGGGTTTGGGGCGTCGGCCACAAAGTCCTTATATAGTCGTGACTTCCTGTGCTGCTAAAAACACCCATTCATCAAGTAGAGACGCTGACCACGATGCCATTGTTCACCATTGTGACTCATGAGCACTTGTGTCCTGTTTATATCGTATTGTTTAACATCTCGAGTGAGTCCCTGCGCTCCGGTTCTGATTGTCTCGGCTACAGTTTCAGCCTCTAATTTTTGATCAGCACGGTTTTACAGACTCACAGTCGAGAGCTGGTTGCGTTGCACCAGCCATTCAAAAAGCCATTAGCAGAATTGAAATTAAAGTACTTCCTAAGATCGCAATAACCACGAGCTGGTCTCAAGTTACTAAATCGAGATAAATAATGTATTAATGTGCAACCTGGGTGCCAGGAAACATCTGAAGTTAATCAATCAGCGATGCAAAACGGATGTCTCTATGGCATTAAAGGTTAGAATAACTTTCAAAAATGATGGTTGTAAAAGGGTGATCTTTAACGAATGTGTTGGGTTGATTTATGTCTACACACATGGAGAATAATGTGTTTACAGTTTATAATAAGTGGGGAAAAGAAGATTATGCTAATCTGATTCTGTTGTAGTTTGAGGCATCTTGTGGTATTTTGGTGAAATGTAATTCAACTTAAAGATTTACACCATTTTTAAACAGGACTTCCCAAACTGAAAGGCAACCATACGTCACACTACTTTTGCTACTCTTCACTCTAAAGAGGGCATAAATTGGTAAAGTAAAATTAACTTTGTCAATTACTTCAATTAGCCACATAGTAGTTAGGCCAGTATCAGATTGTCTGCAAAAAATTTTATGATCGTGTCACTTTCTTGTATCATCAGAGGCAGATCAAAGTTTGTACTTTCTTTTTTATTTGTGGCCTTTTTGCCTTTACAGTAGAGAATGAGGCAGGAAAGTGAGGAGAAGAATGGGGGGAGGGACCTGCAGCAAATGGCCATGGGCTGGATTCGAACCCACGACCGCTGCGTTGGGGACTATAGCCCCAGTACATGGGTCGCCAGCTCAACCAGTTGAGCTACAGCGGTGTCCCAAAGTTTGTACTTTTTGTGTGAACTGTCACGGGCTAGCTCAAACTTTCATACGTACATTCATGGTTGCCAGGGGATGTATTTTAATGACTTCTTCCTCAGCACGACATCTTTGGTTCACAGCGAAATGTTTGGACGACAACATGCATTGTAGCGCAATTTTGTACAAACGTTCATGATCCCCAGAGGATGAAGCTTATCAATTTTGATTGTCCCCTAATTTTACTACTAGCTTCACCATGAAGTTGTCATGAAGGGGTTAAATTAAAAACTCATCAGCAACTGCATGGATTGCCGTTTGGTGCGGACATTCGTGGTCCCCAGAGGATAAGTCGTAACAACTTTGGTGCACATTGACTTCCTGTCCAACACTTTTTGGTCAAATATTTGCACCAACCTTGACTTTTCCATCAGTCTCAGCTGAACCAAGAGCTAATTTTCAAATGTTAGCATGCTAACATCAAACCAGTTTGAAGTACATGATCTTATGCGATGCTAAAACAGAGGAGGTTGCAGAGTCAAATCAGAGGCCGATTCCTCGATACGAAGCAGTCAGAGAGAGAGCGTGCCTCCTCTCTGTCCTCTGCTTACCTCCTCTTCATCATCCTCCCATGTCTGTTTACCCAAACATCCCTTCAGGCTATCATTAGTGCCCGATAAGCAACAGAAACGCACATGCAAGGACACATCAGCAATCTGTCTGCATAGATAGGGGAGAAGAAAATTGGTCCTGTTGCTGCCTTATCGGAGCACAAATGTACACAGACAAAAGACGCCATGTCCGATCCTCCCACATTCTGCACTAATCATTCAATCATAGAGTCTCCGAAAAAAAGGCGATAATGTGGAACCTGCTGACAGAGGTGTCTGCTCATCTTTGGTAAACACACCTCGGCGGCTGAAGTGAAGGCCGTTCGGTATTTATACGTCTGTGGGGAACACCCTACCAAATTACAACGTGTCATCCCCCCTCGCTCACACACTCAGGAAACGTAATCACTGCACGACTCCTTGAAAACACTAAAGCAACACTGTGGTTTGGAGCAGCTGCTAAAAATGCAGCCTGTGTGCTTTTGTTACGGTGTCTGAGGAAGACAATGTGCCAATGTGGTGGGAATAAGTCGGGTACCAAATTAGAAAGGGCCTCTGGTCTGCAGTCTCCCAGAAGAAACAACAAGCTACCTGCCTTTTTGACCTTTTTCAACTGATACAACCCCGACCAAACAGCAGCAGCTATGATTTTTAAGGCAAAAAAATGTGTCACTGCAAGTCAAAACCTTCTATTAAAAGCAAGTTTTAAACATAGACTGTATAAAAGATGGACGTAGCTTCCGTGACGTCACCCGTTGGTTTCTGCACTGAGAAAATGAAGCCAGGGTTTTGCTACTTCCTGGTTGACATCTTGGATTTTTGGAGCCAGTGACGCAAAAATTGTCGGAGGGCCATAGGAGCAGCGATTGGTCAGACGGATTGAGAGGCGGGCCCTCTCTGCCCGCCCACATTTACCGCCTTCTGCTCGCTTCGTCTGCATCGTTGCTGCCGACTGTCAATCAAGCCAGCCACGCCCCTTGCCCTGCAAAATTTTGACAATTTTTTTTAAAAAATTCAGTATTGATTTATTTTCAGATTGGCCACCTGATCTCTGGATTTGACCATGAAAACTAATTTTAAAAAAATCCTGAGCTGGAGGAATGCAGTATTTCATGATCTGTGATCACTTCTTTTCCAATTTATTTCTATGGGAGCCAGGGCTTTTTGGAGTCAGCAGCTAGCAGATGTAGTGATACTGCAGGTTTTTGACACTTCCGGGTTGGCTTCATTTTTCGGGGCTGGTTGCTACGTCCATCTTTTATACAGTCTATGGTTTTAAATCACAATTGTTTCTGCTTATTTCACTCTTTTTATGTCATTTTTAACATTTATTGTTGGGTTTTCGATCATTCTCTGATAGCTTCAGTGCAGATTATGCTAACCCCAACCTTTTGAGGCAGACGGCCGCCCTTCCCAAGCCTGCTTCTGCTTTTTCCTTCTTGGTAAAGGCTAGTTTTTTTCTCTTGCTCTTTATACCTGGAACAATTCATCATAATTCATCAGGTCATTTTGTATTTAAATATACATTTATCCGACTATATGTCAAAAAATGCAGCAGAGCAAAAGGTGCAACGCGTAACTGTGAAATATGGATTAAATTCATTGAACTCACCCAACAGTACAACGCTGCCTGTCACACTACTGGTATCTTCAACAGACCAACCGAAAAAAGGAAAAAGAGGTGAAACGGTGAATAAATTCTCCCACTTATGAACCAGCTGAAACCAGAGTGCTTCAATAAAAATCAGTCCTTTTATTCCACAATTGCGACAAATAATTTTTTACAACCCGATCGTAGACAGTGTGAGGCCAAGAGAGTAGAAATGAAACTTACACTTCCAGGGAAGGCAGGAGTTAACAGAGAAAGCCGTTTTTTTTCTCCATCGCAATGCCCGAGGAAGAGAAAGACACTTGATTTGACTGAATAAATCCGCAGGATATCCTCCTCTCAACAATCTGAAATGGCTAGAAGTCCTTTAATTAAATAATTCATGTGTAAGCTTAAACATGAACATTAGGTAGTAAAGTTTTGTCCAACAGTGATAAGGAGTTGAAAATCAGGACACTGCCATGCATTCACTCATTAAATCAAGGCTTTTTCATTCATTTGTTTTGTCCAAAGATGGCTTGGATTCATTTCGTTGGACAAACCTTCCAGTTAGCAACAGAAAAATAAAAATCAAAAAAAAAAAAGTGGCATTTTGGAATCAAACTTGTGAAACACCAGGAAGGTTTCCACTCGAATCTTTAACACAACCACATGACAGATATGAAACCGTGTGCAGTCTTTTGTAAACAGTCACATTGGACAGTGCTTTCCAGCAAGTGCATTATTTATATTTATATGTGCTTTTGTATATATGGCGGCAACGTGGTGGAAGAAAGTGTTTTCCCTGGTGGTCCAGTAACAACTTAAAGGCAGAGCGATGTTCTGCTCGACAGTGTCCAGAGAGCGGGCAGTGCTGCTGGGTAATGCAGTCTGTTCCCCGTTTGTTCACAGCTTAATGGTCCACACGACTCAAACACATCCTGAGACAACATCTCTCAGTCTGCATGGGGTTTCTTTTCTTTCGGCTTCCCGGGGCAGCTCACCGCTGTGGCTACCGCGCCGTGACCATCCACAGGCCCAGCGCCACGTTGGCCGCCAGCAGGGCGCTGCCCGCCAGCAGCAGGAAGAAACCAATGAGCTCTCGCTTTTGACGGTCCGTTACCACAGTAACCAGCGTGGCCTCCAGCAGGGCGTTCAGCATCCACTGGCCGTCGAGGGCGAAGCACGGCACGGAGTTGACGACTGCTAACGCACCGGAGAGGGACACCACGTATCTGAGAGGCGGAGCGGCTCAGGACAACCAACAAGAACTTTGGAGCAGCATGTTTTAGGGTCAGTTCACCCAGTGAGCAATAAAAATAACGATAATATGGTCGCTAGTGAGGAACTTTTGGTCAGCAGGGATAACTAGCCACAAAGCTAGCTCGTAGCTAGCCAAAATCTGTAGACAATTCTACACAAGTTGCGACTAGCAAAAGTACAGTTAGCAAAATCTGACTCATTAGGATCCAGATAAACGAATATTGAAAAGGTGAAAATAATGCTGATTTATTGACATTAAAAAAATACATTTTGAAAATTAATTTTCTGAATATTTCAAGTTTTATTTTTGTATTTTTAGAACATATTTACCTAATTTTACATGTATTTCAGGTTGACGTTCTTTATTATAAAATCAGTTTGTTTTCCCAACGTAAGTTTTGTGAACATTTTTATTATTTATTAAGCATTCGCCCTTTTTCGTACCTCATAAAGTGCAATACAAGACCTGTTCCGAAGTCCAAAAGTAAGACTGAAGACAAGTGTGGACCATATGATCTAATATTTACTGTAATAACTATTTATTGTTTAATTAAATGAGCATTAATTGCACCTACTAAAGCAGCAGAAAATGTATGGATGTTTTCACAGAGTGTAAATAATGAATTCATTAAATTTTTCTTTTTGTTTTTAAATTGCTAAAATTAACCCTTGTCCACTGAGTCAAAGAGCTTCCAAGCGACTGTAGCCAACAGCACTACTACCACCATCATGTTTTAGTTCATAAATGTAAAAGTGTCTATTCACAGCCTGAAATTAAATATAAAGACAACAGGTAGGAGAAAATACAAGTGCTGGGTATCAAACAGAAGACTTTCCAATACATTCTCAGGCCTTGTTGGATTAACTTCAGCTCATTTTAAGGGAAAAAAAGCAACCCAAGTTGTATGAGTAATATATAGAAGCATGCCAAGTTCGGTTCCCATTTTTAAAAATCCCATTTTTAACTTCCAGGTTCTATTTTTATTCTTTGACAAAAAGTGGCCGGTGAAGGATTTGGGAGACTGCGAACAGCTGAAAATCACAGTGCAGCAGATGAAGAAGTGGTTTCCCACCAGCAGTAATCAGAAAAAGCTGCAAGCTACAGTCACCTGAATTATGAGCCGTGTTGATTTCCAGAACAACATCAGTAAACCGGCGGTGGACGCGTCAGGATCAGAGTGCCACTGTGTGTTATTTGTGAGAGGACATAAGTCATTCTTCTGCTTACAAATGAAAAGTGGAGCTCGTATTGATTAAACGCACTTGTGATTAATTTAATACACTCTGTTGTTTTGCAGCTTCAGCTTTAAATTACCCGACTGACGTTAGGCAACTTTTGATCTCACGACAGCCTGTTTGACTTGTGCCACTTACGTCTGACACTTTGTGATGAGCTGCTGTTGAGCAAAAAGTTAATGAGGTCTTTGCTTTTAAAGGCCAAATGAAAACTTCACCAAATCAATCAAACACACTGCGTTCCAATCAGCAGACCCACAAGACACAAGAGACGAGGCTGTGTTGAGGAGACACGAAGGAGGACAGACTTTAAAAACAGAAAGGAGTTTAAAAAGTGCTGAACTTCAATCAGAAGTGAGTGAAGGATTCAGGATTTGTTCATCTGGGCTCAACAAGGAAGCTTTTATTCTGAAATGACTTAATTTTAATATGAAATATGTTGATGCTAGAGCTATTTCTGAAGAGGAAAGTGAGTGCTTATGTTTTTGTTGAGGGACAAGTTTTAAATGACAGAAAAGAAATGTGTTGTGAAGCACCTTCTTCATAGTTGATCACCTGTTTCTGGCTGCAGCTGAGTCCCTGTAACATGAAAGGATACTTGCAGAAGGTCTCCAAGAAGACGGGCAGATCCAAGTGGAGGAAGCCAAAGCGGGGAATAAAGTTGGTGAGACTCACTGGAAAAGACAACACGGGATATAAAAGAAGACTTATTCAGTCGACACTTTGCGAATCTGTCTTAAATCAGAGCCGACAAGACAACAAGTCTCTTCCTGCTCAGTCGCTCTGCATCACTTAAGACTGGAGAGTCGGCTCAACACCTACAGCCAGCTGTAAACAGCAATTATATGAATGGCACGAGCCTCCTCCAAGAGCGGAGCATAAAAATAGTAACTTACTGCATGTTCAACTGGAGAAACAACATTCTATATGCAAATAATGATATTTTATTACTCCTCGAAATGTTTAACTCAAGAGCGCTGCAGATCATTATTTCTTATGATGACATGCACAACAAAACAAAGACTAGCGGCAGTGTTTGCGTACGTACCGGCGTACTGCAGGTGCGGCGGATACCCGACGAACAGCATGTGTGTGTTGGGGGGGTGCGTGACGCGGATGAAGCGGGTCTGGTTCTCCAGAGACGGCGTGACGCAAACGCTGGCGGCGTGGGAGTGCGAGGCGCAGTCGTCGTCGCTGCGGCACACCCGCGTCCCCGTCACCATCTTGCGCACCGGCATGCAGGCGTACTGCAGCCACAGAGGGAACAACAGGAGATGTCAGAACGGAGGTGGGAGATGTGCTTCTGCTGCTCCTGCATCCACTCCTCCCTTCATGAGTATCTGGTTGTCTTTTTTCATTTATCTACATTCAAGATAGTCCACTTTTTCATGTCTCTACTGTCTGATTCATGACCCTGACCTGTTTATTAATCACAGCTGCATACAATCTGTTCTAGAAAATGTTTGATATGTTGTAGCCACGATTATTTAAAGATTGTTTAGCTCCTTATTTATTCCTTCTTGTGACTATTACACACTAACTCATGTGTAATAACCTGCTCTGTTATATTATATACAGTATAATCTTGTTCTCACACAGTGTAGCTTCATTTGAATTTTATTTTGTGTTCTTTTGTTGAGCTGCTAAACTGCCTTTTGTTGTTGTTTACAACGACAATAAGGATCTCTTCTACTCTATGTATAGTAATAAGGAAAAGTTTTGACTCCCTATAGATTCCTATCCATCACAGAAAACCATCTGGGATGCATTTGATTACAGTTTCATCACTTTGAGGCCACAGCCAGAGTCAGAGGCTACGTTTACATTACGGGCTTTGATGTGCAGCTCATTAAAAACCTGTAACACCTTTATGAAACCGAGTAGGTCCCATTGGTGCTAGCGACCTCTCCCCATCAAGCGTGATGACACAACATCAGACATGTGAATGAAACCAAACTAGAAACCATATAATAATACAGGAGGGTTCAAAGAAACTGAATTTCCAAAATGAGAAAAGCAACAAAGGCGATTAGTCAGTTTTCAGTCAGAACAACATCTCTGTAAACGACATGCATCAACATTTATGAGACAGTCGGATCATGAAGCAGCTGATGAGGGTGAGAACGGGACAAAAAGCACAAGGCCTTGGCTGCTGCTCTGTCGCTGACACTTGAGCGCAGAGAGGAAAAAAAAAAAGGCGTGCGGTGTGGGCGAGGCGTCCACGCCGAAGGATGACGGCAGGCAAACAGAGGAGTAAGACGTTATGATCAGATTGTCCTGACAGCAGCCGCGCAGCCGGCGATCAGATATGAACCAGATCCAGGAGCACATGTACAAGTGTCGCGGACTGTTTGTTCGCGCTTCTGTTGATGAGGGGGGGAAAAAAATATCTGATCTGAGTCACTGGGAGGCAAAAACAATCTGATTTGGACGCGTAATGCGGACGCAGTGTAAAGAATTATCTCGAGCAGCAAGGAAACAAGGAGCCTCGAATCAGCTGATAAAGCCTCCACAGAGCAACATCGTGGAGTCGGTCAGCTTCCACACTGAGAGAGCCAAATTAATACAAGTATAGCTTGAAAAAACTGTGGAGACAAGAATTTTAGTCATTCCTTAAAACCTTGTCGCTACAAACTCAATTCTTTCTGAACCTGAACAGAAGGAAGTCCAGTGAATACAGGAAGTAATATAAATATGCCCGACTGTCTGAAAGGGTTCGGAAACCTGCTCATGTGACGAGCGAGTCACAAAAAGCCCCTGTGTGTCGGCGGGTGTGTCACCTCTCTCTCCCTGCTGTGGCGGCCCTGTGGTTTAATGTAGGAGAAGCACAGGTCGGTGAGGCTGTTGTTGCTGCAGCAGTCCATCGTTCCGTCCAAACGCTTGTAAGCTACGAGGGGAAAGGAAAAACAATATGAATGGAGAGGGGGCTGAAAATGTTGTACAGCTCTGGAAATACGCCTCTCAGTGGGCAGGTGAGCTCGCACTGGATCATTAGACAACAATCATTAGAGGGTCACACACACTTTATTAGATAACTGAAACTATCAACATCAACTGTGCCTTCTATGTACTAAAATACACATTAATGCTGCGTGCATCAGACAATATAAGGGCATTGATCTAAATGTACTGATATCACCCCTTTTGAACAGGATAGTGCAGTTCAAAGTGTTTTACTGGTGACTGATGAGCCGATAAAAAGACAGAACAAGTACAGACCATAAAGGAAAATGACGTAAAACAATAAATAAAATAAAGCTTCACACTACTTAGGCGTCCTTAATCGATAGTATCATCAAAACACCAGAGAAAGAAGTTGACAGATATAAATTTAGCACTGACTGTGGTCACAATAAAGATGTTTTTCCATGTAAAATTCTACCTTGAATTCTACCTTTTATTTAAAATTAAACTAGATCTTCAACTAATAATTACAATTTACTATCAAGCACACAAATTGGTATCATAAACATATTTGTTTTCTATGACCACCCAACCAAAGCCTGAAGATTAAGACGAAAAAACAGCAAATCCTCACATTTAAGAGGCTGAAAGCTGAAAATATTTGGAATCCATGATGGAAAAAAAAAATGGCCGATGTGTTAAAAAATAATTAAAGTGAATATTCTGTGGATGTAAACTCTATTTACTTATAGAAATTGACATTTAAGCGTGCCACTAGAGTAATTATAAACCACAGAGAAGCAACAGGGGCTCTGATCAGCCAGCTGTTGTGCTGTTACCTCATATAGGAGATGACAGCTGGCCAATCAGAGCTCCTGTTGCTGCTCTGTGGGGTTGACCTCATTTCATGTTCAAGTGGCACGTTGTCGTGATGACAAAACACCAAAAATAATTACATGACTGTAAAAGGAATTAATTAACAACTGCTTTTCGAAGTGTATCAATTTATGAAGTGATAATTAAATCCTGAATTAGTGGCCGGAAGGCAAACGTCTGACTCTCCACACGAGGAATTAGCTACTCGGGTGAAAGAGATCGCTGTAAAAATGTAATTGGCGTGTTTTGACGGAGCCTTCCGGGGGGCTGAAACGAGACACGCACCTCGTCCGTGAGCCCAGCTGGGCTGCAGGCTGGCGACGGGGACACAGTATCCGGTCTGTGGGGTGTGAGAGAGGTGAGACAGGCAGCTGGTCCAGTCCTCCACTCCCCTGACAGGACAGTCCTCCAGCCCAGTGACGATGTCCCCGACCGACAGACCCCTGGGACCGTCAGCTGCAGAGCCCTGAACACCGAACACACACACACACACACGACTCAAATGGGCAAAAGGTCACACTGCTGGCTTCCATCCTGCAAGCTGGAAATATTAGTTGGGAAACTCTGGGAGGGAACACGGATTGACAAACACTTTATTCTGCCAAGTGCTGCCAATGAGTTCTTGAGCAACAGACCAAATCAACAACCATCTGTGGCTGCAGTCGTTTTGCAGCTCGGTGATTTTCTTTAGTTTCTAGAGTCAACAAATCCCACAAAAAAGAACAAAACAAACAATGAATTCATCCGAGTAGCTTGTCTGATTTTGAGCTCCACTCAGTGTGTTTACGTGGACGTGTAGCACCAGGTGTAGTGTTTGCACATGTAAACACCATAAACTGGAATAAACTCTCTGGAATAAACGTGCGAGCTGGCAGCATTTACAAACCCTTTCCAGGTTTCCGAACGCTGCCAACCACTCGTGCCTCTTCAGCCAAGTGACACAACAGAAACAAACAAGGGCAGTAGCACAGGCAGCGCACTTCTGGAGCGCCTCGAACACAGTTTGGTTTGTTTGGGAATGGAGCAGCTAAATAGGCTCGGTAATTTAGACGGGAGGAAACCTTTGTTTGTAGTGGATGAGCTGCAGGACACAGAAAGTCAGATCATAGTGGAAGAAGCATTTTAATGTGGCCAAACATCAAAACAGAGGAAGCAGCTCTGATCCAGGAACAATGAATGTTGAGGAAAGTCTGCAGCACGGTGTGTCATAGTGTCAAGGCTGCTTCAAACCAGAATGGGCTCATTTCCAACAGCCACAGACAAATTAATTCTTGGGTTTATATGTAAACATATCCCACCTGCCTAAACAGCAGAATGCAGCAACCAGGAAACAAATATGAGATCCTGACTGATATCATCAGTCGGCATGAATTTTCAGTAGCTTTTGGCCTTTCATAAATGCATCATTGTTGCTGAACATGTTGTCCAAATGCAAAGATCTGAAAACATAACGTCGAAAAAGAAAAGATGTTTGGGGTAATTTAAAAACCATCACAGTTTGCCGAGTTTCTCGAATTTCGTTGGCGAAAATACTCTCAGCAGCACATGTAGCAGAGTCAGTGCAGCCGAGCAGATGGTGGTGTTTAGTAGCTAGTTCATGAAATATATTTAATTAAAGTTAGGAATAGGCCTTGTCCCTTTTCAATACAACTCTAACATCTGTGTGTGTACTTAAAGAATATTGTCTCACATATCAAATACACATTTTTACTCCCTAAAAATCACTACAAGGCCTGATTTTAAGTCTTTTACTCACCATTGTTTGTTGTATTCTTGTGTTGGATGGTCAGATTTGCCCACACGAACGAAAAAACACTGGCATATTTTAATTTATAAATGTATTTTAGGCTTGCTTTCTAGTTATTTACAGATTTTTACTTGTACAAAAGCTCCAAGTGGCTACAGTCTGCGGTCCCAGGATCTGTTCCTAAGGCTAGAACTGAACGGGGAAAGAAAGCTTTTAAATTCGCTGCTCCCTCTACCTGGAACACATTTCAAAAAGACCTGAAACTTCAAGATCTGGTCTCTTTAAACACGTTTACAGTGTTCCTAAATGACTTGGAGGCAAAATCATCAGTGTGTAGATGCTTCGACAGATGATTATTTTGCCAGTTATGATTCTGATCTGTACTGACATGTTGACTTCTTATCTTCAATATGTAATCACCATGTATTATGAGGATGATGTCTGTGTGGATGCTGTTGTGACCTCGTCTGTCTGTCTATTGTGCTGCTGCCTGTCTTGGCCAGGACACTCTTGTCAAAGAGATTTTTAATCTCAATGAGCCTTTTCCTGGCTAAATAAAGGTTAGATTTTAAAAAATAAAAATAAAAAATCCAGTCAAGGACTTCTTAAACCACTCTGTGTTTCATGTAAAAGTCATATCCTGAGTTAACCAACATAAGACTCTAAATGTAAACACACTCATTACTGGAAAAAAAAACTAAAGTGACATGTTTCTACATTTCAAAAGACAAAACCTCAGCAGTTCGTTTAGAAAACGTGGCCACTTTCTGACTTCAACAATTCTAAGAAACTATCTTCCAGAGATTTGTTTCAGATTCAGCAAACTTTATTTGTCCCCAGGGGGCAATTAAAAAACTACAGAGCCCAAGAAAACCCCAAGAAACTTACACTTGAAAACACTTGGATTACAACACGCAGGTGACGAGGGGGCTATTTTTTTATTAACGCAGGCCAAAAACAATCAGTTCAGTGAGTTTGTTCCTCTGCAGCTCCAAGAAATAGTTTGGCGTTTTTGGAAAGACCAACTGTTTAAAAAATCCTCCCACTATAAAGCTTATTAACTGGCACATGTTTGTTTTACCAGTTCATAACTACAAAACTCTGACCAGAGTCGTGCCAGCTGCTTCCACTCTTCACAACGCTAACTTAACCAGCTGCTGGCTGCACGTCAGCGTACAGTGACATGGCGGTGGTATCGATTTGCTCATTTAACATCAGCAAAAAAAGGAGCGTCTTGACTAAAATCTTAAACTTTTCCTTTTAACCTTATGCAGACAGAAGTGGTTTCTCCCGTAAAAAAAAAAACCTGCAGCACTGACCTGCACGACCTCGGTGACCAGCGCTCCTCCTCCGGTGGAGTACATGGGAAACAGGAAGAGAGGCAGCAAGAAGAGGAAGGCCAGCGCTGCCACACACAGAACAAAGTTGTGCCACACACCTGGAAAGACAAACAGAAAACAGCTTCTAATACTCACATTTTTAGCGAAGAATTAAATAAATGTTCAGTTAGAGTTGACTTTTCAAGAGAGCTGCTGCTGACACCATCATCATATAGTCAAATCAGGTGGATATCAGTCTAAGTTACTGCTGTTTTACTACAATATTTCTCTTTTTAGCTCTGTACTGAGCTGGATTGGAGGTACAGGGACAAAGAAAGCATGTCAAAAAGCAATTATACAACACCGAGTATGAACAGGAGGAACAATAACCTGCTTCACAAGGGCATCAACTTGAAAAACTGTAAGCTCGCCCTTTAACAAGGCTCCAGCTAGCGAGTATTATACTGTTTTTCAGCTCACATAATGTCCTTAAATGTCTTATTTTATCAGATTATCAGTACAAATGCCAAATATATTAATTTTGCCATCACAGAAAACTGTAAAAATTCACATTTAAGAACCTGAAATAGTACATTTCAGCATTACTCCCTAAAAAAAAACCCACTTCAGAAAGAAAACAGCAGCTTATAAATGTCTGTTTCACAACTACATACATCAACAAGTAACATTTAATTAAACATTTTTATTCATTTCTAACCAAGTATTCAAGAGGGGCTCCTGCTTATCTAGCGCGCCACCACTTATGGCTTCATATAATCCAAAGAAGTCCACACATACAGAGAGGAGGCTTGAGAGAGGCTCACATGGAGCTACTGTGACACCGACCACAACACCAGGGTGAGACGGTGAAGCCTTGATGTTTACGGCTCTAACGACCGTTTGCATGTTCTCCACATATTTTGTCTGTAGGATGTCGTGGCAAAACAGCAACCACTGCTCGCCAAAAATAGTCATCTATACCGTCTTAATTATGCGACAAGACTCAGTCAGTCTGAGAAAACCGCAGGAGGAAACGTCTCATCGGCTGACGAGGTCAAGGCACAGCTTTGGAGTCCTGAACGTATCATTCAAACGTGTTGACAAGCAGCAGCGAGCGAGACGGTCTTTGGTCGGGGCAAAATTAAAAGCCGAGCACGTCGAGATATTTTGAGGAAAATCTTGGGAAGAGGAAATTTTCTTCCAGGGAAAATGTAAGCAGAGCTGGTTACTACGTCCTAATTAAAACGTTAAAAAAAGGAGGATTTGAATTTCTGGCCTACAGGCAAAACGCTTGTATACATATGTGACGCTGATTTATGTAGTAAACAAATGATTAAAGTTGCATCACCTCTCGCTACAGGAATAAATAATAAACAAGTTATGTCAGACAACCCCCCTGCGTGCCGGGCGACTTCTGCTGTGGACGGAGAGAGAGAAATAAATAAACACAGCACGCTGTTATGTCACCACTCCCCTGATGGGAATAGCAGCTCTCTCTCTCTCTCTCTCTCTCTCTTGTCGTGTGACTCGACTGGACGCCTCATGGATTCACTACAACGTTATTTTCTTGTCAGAAAGTCCAGGAGGAATATTTTAATAAATAGTTAAAGACAGGGATGGTTCTAGAGCAGCTCTTCACTGCCCTCTAAAGGCTGGAAACAACAGAGAAATCCTGCAATTTAGAATTTGGGGAGCTGCTTTATCAACTGCAAGGAGGTGAGGACAGGTAGCAACAACACAAACTGAAAAATTATCTGTTGGATTATATTTTAGTAAAGTACAAACTTTTTACTGTGATCACTGATGTATTAACACATGTGCTGCATTTCAATACCATAGCTAGTCTGGATGGAGCTGGTTTTATAACATGTCAGGTTGTCCTGCAGCTTTGCAAAACTCATAATCTGCTGAATTATTAACTGCAATGAAAAACTTAAGAGTTGCAGCTTGGATAACTTATTTTAGAATAAGGTCTATATCAGCGGTCCCCAACCACCGGGCCGTGGACCGGTACCGGGCCGCACAAAAAGAAAAAGGAAAGTTTTATCGATTTTTTTGTTTTTGTTTCCAGTGCAGTCTACAGGCTGTTTTATTTTGAAAAAGCACTAAATCGTCTTCCTGTCACTTCTGTCTGTGGTTGTTTCTTGCACTTGACTGTCAGTTTTCATGCTCTGCTGTTAAACGAAGCCGTCAGACTAACCGCTGCTGATATGTATAGAAAAAGAAAACGTCTTCCGAGAGCTTCTTTGGAAAGTGGGAGAGACTCGATGTTGAGACAGAAGAAAAAGTAAACACATATTTGGCAAGTCATTTTATTCATTTGTGAAACTTTTTAATAGAAAAAAATATTATTTTTTGTTATGTGTGCACAACCAGTCAGTGGAAATATTTCTTGCTGTAAAACTGGTCTGTCGTGCAAAAAAGGTTGTGGACCGCTGCTCTATGTAATACATGTGATCCTCCAAACTGAAATGCATCATTTAGTGCAAAAAAAGCTTCCTCTTTTTTTGCTTTTTTCTGATTAGTAAATATAAGATGTGCTAGAATACGTCAGAGAAAGAGGAAACAGCGCCTCCTTTCTCACAGATTCTTCACATTCTGGTTTATGTATGACCATCTTCAAACTGCCTCCTTGGCTGCTCTCTAATCAACATCTGCACACATTCTCGAGGCCACACTGCACTGAAAACCCTTCCCCCTCTAACCAGCTCCCCCTGATCACCTACGATGGCAGACATCACTCACATCCGCGCGTGAATAACTGCCACCAAACAATTCATTAAACTCTAATTTTCTTAATTGCTGAGTGAAATGATTTGATGCGATGCAGCTGCGCGCTGCTCGGCGATAAACTGCTCCGATTGACCTTCACTGGCAAAACAAAATGCTTGTAATAACTGTGATTAATGACTGTGATTACATTAGCTGAAAAAAAATATATAATAATAATAATCAGGGTGCCATTAGGAGCCATCGACGGAGCTCTGGATGGGGAAAAAAAAAACTTACCGGCACAGAAGATGCGGAGCTGCTGAGCAGGCGATATGAGGTTGAGGTGCGTTGTGAAGAGGTCCACGAACGCACCGGGATACACCACGAACACAAACATCCCGAAACCGTTCACCCTCACTTGTTCTCTGCAGGAGACAGAAACATATTACAGCCAAGAAGAGAATCAGACTTTAAACGCACAACATGAGCGTCAAAGAACACGGTGACACCAAACCAGGTTGGGAAATGACTCAATTTACAGGTAACAAACGTGGGCAGCTGGGATGACTTGTTTTCAATCTTTACATATTTATCAGACATTTCTGTTGAGTTTCAAACACAACCGATCGATTTGCACACATTCTCGCTTACATTCTAGATCACGGTGAAGCCAAACGTTGGTGCTTTCCTGCTACAACAATTAACAAGCTCAGCAGATGCGTCCAATAATAGCAGGAAAACTGGGGCGCAACTACATATAGACTGCTTATTATGCACCGGCCTCCCTGTAGGCTACAACAATAAACACCACTGCAAACCATATTATTAGTCCAAAATACATGTCGAGACGTCATCGGCTCCTGCTGTTCACTGCAGTGATGCATCGATGCGGATCTGAGGGAAGCCGAACCTCCAAATGTTTATCAGAAGGTCTGCATGCTTTGAAAGCGGCAAATGACAATGTGGTGGTTTTAGGATACCAACATTCTGCCACTGGGTACAAAATCCTTTCTCTAACGATGAACTCTCTACTTGGCAAAACAAAAAGATCGACTTACTAAAGGAGCCAAAGCGTGAGAGCAGTAAAACAAGAGTGAACCCTCAGGACTTGAAGCAGTTCGAGGCTTATATTCAGTCGACATTATTTCTACCAGATGAGTCAGTAAAAGCTGAAATGACCCTCCTCCAGCAGAGGTCAAATGTTTGTGTTCTTTAGCTAAATGATTCTGTGAGGACTTGGAAGTTATTCCATGAAGGTAGTGCGTCTGAGTGACCTCCACAGTCTAGACCGAGTGTTACCGTATTGAACCCAGCAGGATTTACTTTTGGGTTTGTTATGTAAATAGATTCTCATTTACATCTTGAATTGGGACCAGAAGAAATTCCCCATTTAATAATAATCTGATTGCGCAGAAGTAGATTTCAGGTCAGTAAACATGACACAAATTCAGCAAGAGAATCAGGGTTCTCCAAAGGAACGTCAACACAAGAGTAAAATTGGGATTTTTGCCACTTTAGTATTTGATTTTTAGATCAAAACAAGCCAATAACACAAAAATACATCGAAACTTGACTATACTGTTAACATGCTTTTCAGTATCTATATAAAGTTGTGTTTATTTATTCTCTATTTGCTTAAAAATAACTTCAAATTTATTTTTTGTCCCAGAGGGGCGATTTGTTCTGCAGCAGCTTACACAAGAGTTCACAATAAACAAACAATACAAACAGTAAAAAACACAGATTAAAGGAAATGTTTAAAAAAATGAAGTAAAGAAACACAATAAAAACAGTTAAAAATTCCACAAAACATAAGACAGACAGGGACACTAGCTGCAGTCTTCATTCAGTCAGGTGTGTTCCAGTGCAAACAAGAGCAGCAGAAGAAGTCAAGTAAGCAGGTTAAAGAGCAGCACAGGACATGATCGAGTACAGCAGCAGAAACACAGTGCATCACCTCCTCCTCCTCTTCTCAGTGTTTAGAGCTCGGATGAAGGTCAGCACAAAGAGAACTTATACCTGTTTTTTGTGGCCTGAGGTCCTGCCAGGCGAAGGCCGGAGGGGAGCAACTTACACTCCTGATTGAGAGGATGAGTAGCATCCATAAGAACCAACTGAGCTTCCTTTTTGATTTGTATATTAAAAATGTCTTCAAGACTATTAAAACACGCCCAGCTACTTTAGAGGCTACTTTTACTATCCTTCATGTCCTTGTTGCCAAGGTTACCATTCCAACATATGATCGAAAACGAAATGATTGACTGGATGAAGGGAGAGTAGAAGAGCTGCATGGACTGGTGACCTGTCCAGGTGAACCTGCCTTCACCCTGAGTCAGCTGGGATACACTCCAGCCCCCCATGACCATAGTGAGGATTAAGCGGTGTATAGATGATGGATGGATGTATGTATGTGGGGAGGCTGCTCGCCATTTGTACGCAGGTTGTTTCATCTTAAGCAATCACTGATGCACACAACGCTCAAAATGCCATTGACACGAGTGGATTTACTGTCACATATATATCACTGGGCAACCACTTCTGGATTTCGTTTTCTTTTCATATATAAAAGTACATTTTCCTCATGGAGCAACTGGTGGCAGGACTGAACCGAAAACACTCCTAAAATCTATCAAAACACTGTATTCAGTTAAAAGCAGCCTTTACTTTGCAACACGTGGCAGCTTTAACAGGATTTTTTGATTAAAACATACACGGTTGCGTTATGCGTGGGGGTCACTAGTGAGCTGCCACCACGGTAATAAAAGCCCTGCCCACTTCCACCTGCAACCTCGAATCCTCAGTAGGCCCCCAAAAAAATGTGAATAAGAGGAGTGTAACAAGCTGTGGAGAGAAGGATTCAACACCCTTTAACTCTCCTGTGGCCTGTGGATGCTCTTCACCCCTGCTGGTTGTCATGGCAACACATTGTGTATGTGTGTGTGTGCGTTACCTCAACGCTGCCACGGCGTGGCCCAGCTCGTGTATGATTCCACTGAGCAGCAGGGCGATGAAGAAGTAGGCCAGCTGACTGGTTGGCAGATTGACACCTGGGACCTGAAAACGCATTAGAGACCAAAAAGAAGCTGTGACTGATACAGAAGCACAACGTGAACATTAACACGAATCAGCTCGGCTTTATGGGTATTTTTAATCCTCGAGTAGGAGGACGTTTAATTGAAACATGGTGTAAGATCTTCCCCTGGCAAACAAACACCCCATTTGTACCACCGTCTTTAAGTCTTCCTGCTTTTCTTTTTAAGGCTTCTCCTTCATATTTATCGCTTTGTGTTTTGCTGAAGCTGAGCTTTTCCGTGTGGTCTGTGTTTCTCTCTCCCGCTGGCCGTGCTGAGCATTTTCTGCCGCTCCAGGCTGAATTCTCAGAAATAAATGGCCTGCTAATAGCCTCCCATGAATCACCGACCGAGGTCCGCTGGGGATAGCGCTCACACTAATGCGCGCCTATTTGACACCATAATGAATAAAAAAGTGAACAGGAAAAGTGCTGCTCATAATTAGGGGGCTGTTTTTTTTTTTTTTCTTGCAACCCTCGTTTGAATTTCACAGGCTCTGAATGAACTTTGAAGTTAATCTCTGACCTTGAACGCATAAACGACGCGCGCACACCCTCGCTGATTGTACCTAATTGAACATTTCCCGCTGAAAGTCGCAAACAAAGCATCAATTACCCGCACTTAAATTCTCATTCACCTGGTTTGCCTCGCGCGTACAAGTTCATAAATCAACGTACCACCACCTGCAGCGCTTGCTGGCCTCCTATCCGAGGGTTATCTGTGGTCATCTGAGCAAACGTCTGCTGCAGCGTCTTGATCAGCAGCACCACTGAGCCCACCATGGCCACGATGCCAAACATCAGACCGCTGTTGAACCTGGAAAACACCGACATGAAGGAAACTATTTAAAGAAAAGTCACTGAGTTTGGCTTTATTAACCTATAAAAGAAATAAATCTAAACAGAAGAGAGCCGAGAAGAGCACCTGAACTTACGTTACTCTGCAGAAACAACAGATGCAGTCGTTTTAAAACAGAAAGTAACATCTTTAAATGTGTAGCTACACAAGTCACACAGTGCCTATCAGTGAACTAAACACCAATTTATTTTATTTTCAGGTTTCCTTTATTTAACTAAATATACATTCAGCATTCCAATTTTAACCTCCTGTCACATATGGCACTTCTGTTTTCTAATTTTAGGCTGTTTGTGTTGCGCAAACCAAAAACAAAAAGAAAATTTTTATTGTTCAGGGTTTTTTTTTACCATTTACTTGCTAAAACTCTGCTGTCGTGCCCACGTCAAATGAACAGACAGACAGATTACTGTACTTGTCTAAATATAAAAAGAGAAGGTTTTCTTATGCTTGGTGACTGGACAACTGCCTGTTCAGATCATCTTTATGAATATAGAGATTACAGATCTAGTGCAGCAGTGCATTATGGGTTGTTTTTAGCCTTAATGCTGCTAAGTTAGCAAATGTTGTCAAAATCTGTTTATGTGTGAGAGCAGCTCACTGCCCTGTCATCAGAACAACCACGCCCTCTAGTGGATGAAAACAAGGGATGTCAAAGTGCTGACACCAAACAGGAAACAGAACTTGCTGCCTCATTAAAGACAAAACTGTTTTTTTTTTTCTTTACTTCCCCAAAGGACATTAAAAGACTGGATCTGAGCCTTTAGGCTTGTGCTGAACAAATAAAAGGTTTTAAATTGAAGTTGCAAAACGAGAAACTTGGACAAAATGCAGAGGTGGCAGCACATCAGATCCAGGGTTTAATGTCTTTACGTTTTGTGTCTTGTCTATTCCAGAAGTGCATTTCGCAAAATTTACGAATGAAATGATCCTGAAGAAACGCTCTCTCATCCTGCCTGTACTACTGAGTATGTACAGCAAAATGACAATAAACCTGATTTGATTTAATCTGTTTTACAGTCATCTTTGTGTGACAGTCGTGCTTTTGACTGCGTCTCATGTGATAACGCTCCATCACATGTTTTAAATCTACTACACGGTGAGTATTGTACTGAAGGCTTGACCTTAAAAACACATCACAAATCGATTTACAATATTTATTAGTTTTATTATTTTTCCCCAAATTGTTGAGCCCGACTTCAGATCAGTTGCAGAGAGGATGAAAATTGTTATGTGCAAGACTGATCCAGTAAGTTTGTGTACATTTGTGACAAACACTCAATCAGAGCTGGTTTGCTAAACATGTCTTCAGCCTTATATTGATAGCAATGGAATAAGTTCACAGTTTGGCACATTGGACAGACGACCAAAACAGCAAAATAAAGTGTCTAAATGGCTATAAAGTGACAGAAATCTATTACCTGATGATAAAATAAAGTAGTTGTCTACGTCAGGATACAACACCTCTGGTCACTGAGTAGGGAGTCTTTCAATTTTTTGTTATATGATATAAATCACTGATTGACATCAAAAGCTAAAAATCATCGCAGCATTTTAATGTTTTGCTATTAAATTGGTTAAGACCTTGAAATTTGTATTAATGCAACTCAAATTAGTGTTGCTGCTTTCACCTTCAAAAGGTTGGGGGACATTACCCGAGGAAAAAGACGTGATGCTCTCATCTGTAGCGAGTGTCAGTCAGCAATAAACAAGTCATTTATCAGGTGGCTCCTGTGTTCTAATTTACTTGTTCATAGAGGAAATAAATTCATGAAAAGTGAACCAGAAATTGTTCAAAGTGGCCAAACGCTGTTACATTGTCAAATTAATTGCTCAATTAATTGTCAAAAGGTAACGAGTGGGAGTGAAAAGCTTTGAGTTAAATAACATCAAAGTGCAAACGACTTTCTTAATTAGCCTCTTTTTTGGAACTGAGGTGTTTGAGGTCAACAATTTCAAAAGCAGGAACCTGAAAGTGTTGATGAGACAAGTCCAGAATTAATGCAGGAGGAGAGAAGTTTAGAGTAACTCGTGACAGAGAGGTTTGTACCAGAGGTAAAGGGCCCGGGGGTTGATGCGGGCGCAGTACGCAAACAGCCGGTTGAACATGGTGGTCTGCCATCTGAGGTGGAAGGGAGACAGCATCAGGCCTCGGCTGGCGAGCCACGACTCGTAGCTGATCCGGTGCGTCACAGACGACTGCAGGACGGAGATGAAGTCAACAGAGAAAGTCCATGAACAGTTATGGAACAGGCTTACATCAAACTGCAGTTAGTTTGTGACAGAAGCTGTGATTTAGTTTATTTTCGTTCCCACAGATCCCCCAATGCACTGTCTTCAAGCATTTAGTCAACTATAACTACACGATTTTCTGGAAATTTTTGCAGGTATCCAGGAGAACATCTTTGACTTGTTCATTTCTAAAGGCTACAAAGTGTTTCACAAGGTGTCCATCCAAACACAGAATAAAAATACATAGAAAATTCAATAAAAGACAAGCAAAAATGAAAAGCAGAACCAGGAGACTGATCCATAACGTGGAGGCTGGGACAGTAAAAGCTCCATCGCCACCGACTCTGAACTTTGTGCGCAGCCACAAGATGACTAAGAGGCTTCGAGGATCTACAGCTTAACAGGTCGAGTTGTGGTAAAAGATGAAAACCTCTTCTTCAGGGTTTTTGCAGTGTTTACAAAATGAAACTGACATTTTCAACTCTACATGGAGCAAAATTTAAAACCTTTTTACAGCCATAAAGGTCAAAAAACATATCTTTGTCAGTGCTCCCAGCTGGTTATTGAAAGTCATGTTTAATCAGTTAACATGAACATAACACTTGAACCTAAATAAGCAGAAAACTGATGGAAGGATTAACTAAACCATCTATATGTGATGCTACAGCACCACTGATGTACTGCACATACGTTTTAACAGGCATGAAAAAATAATCATGACCTTCGCAGAAAAACATCTGACTTCTGAATACCACCTGAGGCCTTTCTGTATTTAAACAATTCTTTTAAAGACTTTTCAGCACCTGCAGACGACACAACGCTCTTCTGATAGATGTGACCATGATTAACACAAATGCAGAGAAAGTATAAATTAACTTGCAAATTAAAACCTTTATCTAACAGAGATAACACCAGGATGGTACAATAACTAATCAAACGTAACAGGTGATTTTCCAGGATGTTTCCAGGATATTTCCTGTGACATAACGCTTGTCAAATATGGAATTAGTTAAACCGAGAGAATATACAGACTGTCTAATTTGTGAGGGTCCTCATTTGTCAAACTTTGCATAGAAGAGGCTCTAAATCTGTGCAGTCTGCAATGTTAAATCCTGAACATTTTACAACAATATATTCCCTGTAAATGGTTCTGATTGAGCACATGTTGCTGCCAAAATGGAACGAGGAAAAAGATTTTTAAAAATAAATAAATAAATAAAGACATGAAGTTCTTAGTTAATAAACCAGCATTAATAATTAATCATTAATAACGCTGTAGAGCTAGCCAAAATAAATAAATAAATGAAACACAAAGGACAAATCTTGGACAAAAGTGGTTTAAAAAACAAACAAACAACAAGGTAGATGCTCTGTCTCCTCCAACAAGAGCAGTTGATGAAGAAATTAAAAGCCAAAGACACACCTGCTGCACACAATTAGCAAAACAGCCTCCACAGGTGACATTGATGAGAAAAATCAGCTCTAATGATGGTTCTGAACGACAGATGACAATATTACACAATATGATTTTGCTTTATTTCTAATGAAATGTGCCTTTTTTGTGGTCTTGCTTCAGATAAATTAGCCCAAACACCTTTGATTTCTGTGTTTTGACACACGTTGCAGACAGATATAATCACTTATGTTACACATTTCTGTTTGATTTGAGCTTCAAACACATCACCAGGAAATATTTGACAACTACATGAACGTTATTGTATTTTATAGATGGATTTCTTGTAGCTTCAGGGCTAAGTTATGCTAACTTCAGGCTGTTATGGCCTGTTGATACAACCGCTAACAGGTGAAAGAAGCCCTCTATTCCAATTCTAGTAATAATTTACCTACTTGTGTCTGCTGGCAGCTTGTTAAACATGAAAATAAAAGATGAGTAACGCTCACCCTGAGCAGTGTGTCGGCCAGGTACACGGCACACCAGCCTGCCATCACAAACACCAGCAGGGACACGGGGATCATGGTGCCGCTATCACTCGACTCTCCGCAGACACGACGAACCGAACCGTGCAGCCTCCATCACCCTCCTCCGTCCTCCGTTTATAGCGCTGCCAGTGGCGGTTACACTCGGTTAGCGCTGCGGCAAAATGTCGACATTTTAAATTAAATTCAAACGGAAACGCTGCGTTTATTTTCAGGGATGCTGTGAATGGAGAGAAGCGTCAGCACTGTGCGACAAACCTCCGGGTTGCTCTTCTTCTTCTTCGCTTTCTTGCATCAGCGGCTTCTTCTTCTTCGCTGGCAACAAAACGGCGCACTACCGCCACCA